CGCTGAGGCCGCTCACGAGAGTCGAACTTCCAGGCGATGGTGATGCCGCCGATCTCCGAGTCGCTGAAGCGCAGCAGGAAGGTGCCGTCCGGCTTGTTGATGAGCAGGTCGTGCGCCTGCTGCTTGTTCACGAAGCCCAAGATGGCGCTGGGGGAGGGCCGCGGGCAGGACGAGAAGAGGGCGTGTCAGCCAGCGCCCGCTGAGACCCTCTGCGCCCGCTGCCCGGGGCCGCTGCTCACCCGTCGTTCCAGTGGGGCTTGAGGTGTTTCTTCAACACCTCCATCACGCCATCGAACCACTGCCAGAATGTGTAGTTCCGCCCAGGCAGGTTCTCCTGGTTGGAGATAGACAATGCCTGTTAGAGGACGGTGGCATCCCTGCTGCCCGGGAAATGGGACAAGGCCTCCCTGGGCATCCGGGGGCCACTGAGGGGCCCTGCAAGCAAAGGAGTGAGGCTGGGGAAAGGACCCTGGCCCTAGAGCAGTGCCCGGGCACGCTGCAAACGCAGCCTTGCCCTCCTGGGTCTGGGAAGACAATCCCTGGGTCTCCTCGCCCGCTCCCAAAGCTCACGGAACAAGAGCGTTTGGGGCCCGCCTCAGAGCCACGGGGCCACTGCTGCACTGGCCCTGGGCTGGGTCACACTGTGAGGCCCGGAAGGAGCCATGGCACCAGGCGCCTGAGGGTTACCAGCCGACGGCAGTCCCCTGCTCCCCTCGTTTTATGAGAGACTAGGTGTCTCTATGTAATCCAGGCTGGCCTCCAGCTTACCACACCCCTGGTTGTCCTCAATCAAACTTGGAGCAATCCTCCTGCCTCAGCCTCCTGAGTGCTGGGACCGTGGGTGTGTGCCGCCACGCCTGGCTCTATTTCTTTCACCATTATTATTTATTTTTTGTCTTTTGAGACAGGGTGTCCCTATGCAGCTCAGGCTGGCCTTGAGCTCACTTTGTAGCCGAGTCTGGACCGAAATGGAAAGGATCCTCCGGCCTCAGCCTCCCTCCCTCCCTCCCCACTGCTGGGAATTACAGCCTGTGCCACTACACCTAGCCTTCTATTTCTTTTATAAAGGAAGAAGATGCATTAACTCTGAACAAAGCCCGATTTACTTAAATATGAAAAGACACGATTTCCTACAGGAGAGTAACTCCAAGCTGCCCACCTGTCTCGAAGCTCCTATCACTCAGCACTTTTTATCGGAATGAAGGGGGTCAGGGCCAGGTGCGGGGACCTGCAGGACACCGGCCGGAGGAATGGGGCCCACAGCAGCCGCGGCCCTCACCCTGTTGAACTGCGACCAGGACACGGCCATGCCGCTGTAGTCCTCCAGGTGGCCGCTGCTGCTGCTGAACAGCTTCTGCGCCAGGAACACCAGGTTCTCCTTGGTCAGGCCCCGGGTGCTCTGCACCTCGGCCTTGAACTTCATGTCGAGCGCCTCGCAGAGCTGGGGCCACGGCACTTTGTCGGGCACCGCGAACGGCACCCTGCCCTGCAGGAGGAGCCAGGTCGTTGAGCATGGAGGCCGCCATCACAGGAGGTGTCCGTCGGAGGCTCACCGCCGCTCGGGTCTGCACTGGGGCTTAGGGCTCACTGTCCCTCACCACGTCCTTGCCGCAGGTTCCCAGGTGAGCCACAGGCTTCGGGCCCAACCCTGGCCTCCGACACCATGGACTCAGGAGCTAGGCCCGAACCGGCTCTGGGGTGCGAGCTCACTGGGACCCAGAGCCCAAGAGGGCCACCTGGGTGAGGCGGGGCAAGCGCTCGGATACACGAGTTGTGTGCATGAGGCACACGCGTGTCTGCATACAGACACGGACCCCTTCTGCAAAGGGACACAGCTCGCGTGGTGGGGCGTGGAAATTTCAAATAAGCAGCTTTCATGGGAAATAGGTTAGAATAATGTGAAAAACAAAACAAAAACAAAAAACAGGGCCTCACTATGTAGTCCAAGCTGACCTCAAACTTGCACCATCCTCCTGCCTCAGCCTCCCAGGGGCTGGGGCTACACATGTGCGTCACCACGCCTGGCTATAAAATGGCTTTGGAAGAGACCCTTCCTTCCTTCCTTCCTTCCCACCACGTGAAGTCCAGAAAGCACAGCACAGCTGCCTTCCGGGGCCTGGCTTCCGGGGCCCCTCCTCAGAGGCGTCTAACATGGTCTCACAGGAGGACAGGCAAGGAGGCTTCAGGCCCCCACAGGTCGGACCGCCTGCCTCCCTCTCCTGTCCTTTCAGCATGACCCTGGGGTTTGGGAACCCACAGCATCATGCCCATCCCCACACAGAGCCTCTCGGTCTCGGGGACAGAGCTGGGTGAGTCTCGGGACAGGAAGCAGGGACACTTTAGTGGAGGAAGGCAGCCCGGCATCTCCTCAGCTAAAGCCGCTTCCAGGCGGCAGAGGCCCCAGCCTGGCCAGGTTCCCTGACCCTCAAACTGCTTGCTGAGCCCTGGTGACAAGACTGGCATCTGCTGTGCAGCCTTCCTTGGGCTCCTCGCAACCCCAGCGTGCACCACGTAGGCAGGTGGCCTTGGCCTACCTTGGCTTGCACCCTCTCCACCCTACCCCACATCTGGGAGAACAGTGGAAAGGACGCGAGACACCAGCGCGGAGACCACATCCCTCAGCTGGGGATGCCACTTACGGGCTCTGCAAAGGCGTTGTCCCACAGCACCGTGGCTGTTGCGTTGTTGTCCTGGCTGCCGTGGACGATGACCACCACCGGGAGGGACAGGGTCTAAACGACATGGCACATGAGGCTGTCACAGTTGTGCGGGCTCTGACATCATAGGTGGCTTGAAGATGGTGTTCCTTAGACGTTTCATCCCCATTTGTTTATTTTTGAGACAAGGATTCTCTCTGAAGCCCAGGCCAGCCTTAAACTTGGGGTGATCTGCCTGCCTCAGCCTCCCAAGTGCCAGGATGACAGGCGTGGGCCACTACACTCAGCTTGTTGTTTGGATGCCTCTAAAGCACAAAGCAGGTTTCTCCGTGTTGTAAGGACAGGGAAAGGGCCGGGGATATAGCTCAGTGGCATAAATGCTTTCCTGGCAAGTACAAGGTCCTGAGTTCAGTCCCCAGTCCAAAAAAAAAAAAAAAAAGAGAGAGAGAAAAGTACAAAGGGTAAGAGAGATTGAGAGATTTCTGGGCAAAACCCAACAATCTCTCCCAATTCACAAGGAGTTTCCTGTGACACATTTGTATCTGCCCCTCCAGCAAGGTCATCTTATCCAGAGCTCTAATCTCTCTTAAGAGACTAATAGAGATAACAGAGATGACAGATCCAGTGATAAGCTTGCCTCTTTATCAATAGCCAAAAGGAAGATTACAGCATGCTGAGCTCCATGGCCCATACCTGCAGCCCCAGTGCTCTGGGAGGCTGAGGCAGGAGGGTCATGGGTTCAAGCCCAGCCTGCACAATTTAAGATCTTAGCATTACCCTGCCTTAAAACAAATAAAGGGGAAGGCAGTTGGGTGCCAGTCCAGTGCCAGGGCCTGGGTTCAATCCCTAGTACCCGTAAAATAAAAGATTGCACATAAACACAACTCTTCAGAGACCAAGTGCGCAGTGTGCACACACCCCACACAGGTGCAGACGTGTGAGCACGTGCATCCCACCGCCTGGTGCGGGCCTCACCTTGACCTGGAACACAAGCTCATTGCCACCAATGCTGAACTGCGACTCGAACAGGATGGTGAATTTTTCCTCTGTCACTGACTCTGCCCCACGCCGGTCCGACCTCTTGATTCGCTTCAGGGACTGCAAAGCGCGGTGGGTGAGCCAGCGGTGCCACAGCACCCAGGAGAGCCCAGGGAGCAGGGAGCCCAGGGGCCCTCCCACCCACGGCCCTCACCATGTTGCGGAAGTGGGCGCTGAGCGTGCCCGTGGCCTGGTGGTACTCCATGACGCAGCAGTTGTTCAGGATCTCGCCACTATAGTCACTGCCAACCAGAGGGGACAGCTGGGCACCCTTGCCGGCCTCAGCACACGTCCAGCAGGGGACACCGGGGCGGGGGACCCCAGAGAAGGCTACTAGAGACAGACCCCCTGACAGCGCTGTCTGATGTGGTGACCACAGAAGTAGCTCTGAGCCGCTAGTGAGGGTAGGGACACGGCTCCACTCTACCCTCAGGGGAGGCAGGGCCGGGCCACCTACTTGCGGGTGTTCTCGTTCTTGAGCAGCGCCTTGGCCTGCTGCTCGCTGATGATGGTGGCCTTCACCTGCGGCGGGTTCATGTGCACATTCAGCTTCCCGCCCACCAGCAGCCGCACGGTGGCCGCGAACTTGGTCTGCGTCTTCAGGACCTGCGGGGGCTGCTTCTC